ATATAATATATTAAATATATTAAGTAATATTAAACACATGTACAGAGTGTCCCAAAAATATTTGGTCAAACATTAACACTATATTCTATTCTTTTTTTTTTAACAAAAAAAGGTTTAATAAACATCAATCCAAAAATCAACCATTAACAAGTTATATCAGTTTCAAGATATTAAAAATTTTTTGTATTTTTTGGCCTTCATTCACCAGATATCACTCCTATTAATTTCTATTTGTGGGGTCATCTCAAAACTTCACGCTGCAAGACCTATCCAAAATATTGATGAACTTCAGGAGCATTGTAAATTTGTTTGATATCATATGGAACTTTATTTATATGGAACTTATTATTTATATTATATTTTCGACTGAGTTCGAATCTTTAAAAAGGTATGCTGAAGTATGTATTGCTGCTGGAAGTAATCACTTTGAGTTTTTGTAATTTTATGTGAGTTTGATGCTAATTTATTTGCAATTACATTAGGTTACATATTCACAAATTTAAATTAATGTAACTTGTTAATGATTGGTTTTTGGATCCATATTTATATTAAACTTTCTTTGTTTTTGTTTTCATCTCTAGAAAATAGTCTTAACGTTTGGCCGAATGTTTTTAAAACAGATTAAACCTATGTACAGGGTGACTCTAAAAATTACTGACAAACTTCAGGAGCGTATAGAGGGATTGGAATATAACTTTCGACTAGGAACCCATGTTCTCCTAAGTAATCCTAAGTTAGTACAAGCCTGATTTGATGCCTCTTGATTACTTCTTTTGGGGGCATATCAAAAGTCTCGTTTACGAGACACCAGAAACACTTTTAGCCAGAATACTTGCAGCATCTGACGTGATCCGAGATATATTTATTCCGGATATCCAGGATATTTAAGGGAATGCACCAGAGTTTCGTTCGACAAAGCAATGCCTGCATTATGGTGGTCGCTACTTCAAACACTTTACGTAATATTTTATAGTATTATTGTGATCATATAACCTTTGTTTAATTAATAAACTTTGTGCAAATTAAAATTATTTTTCTCATTGGTATGTTATTCACAATGTTCCTTATATTCAAAGGCTTCTACCGACTCAGAATTACTTTGAAGAACATAAGTTCCTAGTCAAAAGTTGCTATATTCCGACCGCTCTATACGCTCCTGAAATTTGTCAGTAACCTTTAGAATCACCCTATATATATGTATGTATGTATGTATGTATATATGTATGTATGTATGTATATATGTATGCATATATGTATACATATATGTATAAAAAGTGATATATTATAAATATTATTTTTAAATAATATTAGTATACCTTAGATGGTGAAATCATGATAAAGCGTGAAATGTGTAATTTACCTATTTGCGCAACGTGTATCTTGCCGAAATGCTTGTCCGCGTATCCTCTCGAGTAAAAGCGCTCGTTACTCCGTAATGAGCGCAGTATGACGCGACCATTTTGCACGAGACGATGGACTACCGTCCGTATTGACATCTCTCCGCTCTCTTGGACGGGGACAGCCCAGCGGGCAAGCCCGTACGTCAAGTACGCCTTGAGGGCCGGTGATAAAGTCGCTACGAAGGTCTCAATTTTTGTGCCGTTTATCCTCTAACTGCGCAATACGAAACAAAACCGATATGATGCATGATGATGCGTGATACGCGCCACAAACATGTTAAATTCATAGAAACGGTGATTCCAGATGTTTATTAAGGCCGTTACGCTACGCTAGGGATGGGCCATGAAGGAAGAGTAAAGCCCGTATCAGACTACGCATTGAAGATTGAGATTGAAGATTGAAGATTGAAATTTGATCAATCAGGATAAAGAAATTTTAGTTCCTTTTGTTCTGATTAGTCAAATTTCAATCTTTAATCTTCAATTTTCAATGCGTAGTCTGATACGGGCTTTACTCTTCCTTCATGGCCCATCCCTAGCGTAGCGTAACGGCCTTAATAAACATCTGGAATCACCGTTTCTATGAATTTAACATGTTTGTGGCGCGTATCACGCATCATCATGCATCATATCGGTTTTGTTTCGTATTGCGCAGTTAGAGGATAAACGGCACAAAAATTGAGACCTTCGTAGCGACTTTATCACCGGCCCTCAAGGCGTACTTGACGTACGGGCTTGCCCGCTGGGCTGTCCCCGTCCAAGAGAGCGGAGAGATGTCAATACGGACGGTAGTCCATCGTCTCGTGCAAAATGGTCGCGTCATACTGCGCTCATTACGGAGTAACGAGCGCTTTTACTCGAGAGGATACGCGGACAAGCATTTCGGCAAGATACACGTTGCGCAAATAGGTAAATTACACATTTCACGCTTTATCATGATTTCACCATCTAAGGTATACTAATATTATTTAAAAATAATATTTATAATATATCACTTTTTATACATATATGTATACATATATGCATACATATATACATACATACATACATATATACATACATACATACATACATATATATAGGGTGATTCTAAAGGTTACTGACAAATTTCAGGAGCGTATAGAGCGGTCGGAATATAGCAACTTTTGACTAGGAACTTATGTTCTTCAAAGTAATTCTGAGTCGGTAGAAGCCTTTGAATATAAGGAACATTGTGAATAACATACCAATGAGAAAAATAATTTTAATTTGCACAAAGTTTATTAATTAAACAAAGGTTATATGATCACAATAATACTATAAAATATTACGTAAAGTGTTTGAAGTAGCGACCACCATAATGCAGGCATTGCTTTGTCGAACGAAACTCTGGTGCATTCCCTTAAATATCCTGGATATCCGGAATAAATATATCTCGGATCACGTCAGATGCTGCAAGTATTCTGGCTAAAAGTGTTTCTGGTGTCTCGTAAACGAGACTTTTGATATGCCCCCAAAAGAAGTAATCAAGAGGCATCAAATCAGGCTTGTACTAACTTAGGATTACTTAGGAGAACATGGGTTCCTAGTCGAAAGTTATATTCCAATCCCTCTATACGCTCCTGAAGTTTGTCAGTAATTTTTAGAGTCACCCTGTACATAGGTTTAATCTGTTTTAAAAACATTCGGCCAAACGTTAAGACTATTTTCTAGAGATGAAAACAAAAACAAAGAAAGTTTAATATAAATATGGATCCAAAAACCAATCATTAACAAGTTACATTAATTTAAATTTGTGAATATGTAACCTAATGTAATTGCAAATAAATTAGCATCAAACTCACATAAAATTACAAAAACTCAAAGTGATTACTTCCAGCAGCAATACATACTTCAGCATACCTTTTTAAAGATTCGAACTCAGTCGAAAATATAATATAAATAATAAGTTCCATATAAATAAAGTTCCATATGATATCAAACAAATTTACAATGCTCCTGAAGTTCATCAATATTTTGGATAGGTCTTGCAGCGTGAAGTTTTGAGATGACCCCACAAATAGAAATTAATAGGAGTGATATCTGGTGAATGAAGGCCAAAAAATACAAAAAATTTTTAATATCTTGAAACTGATATAACTTGTTAATGGTTGATTTTTGGATTGATGTTTATTAAACCTTTTTTTGTTAAAAAAAAAAGAATAGAATATAGTGTTAATGTTTGACCAAATATTTTTGGGACACTCTGTACATGTGTTTAATATTACTTAATATATTTAATATATTATAT